AAGGAACGGTGTCACCCCATACTGGGGACGATGTGTGTCTGTTTCTGCTCTGCTTGTCTGGTTCAATTACAGAAAATAACAGCATTGTGTTTCACGAGCATGGAAGGAAGAAGCAGAAGTGCCTGGCCCAGAAGGGTGGCACGGCCGAGCTCAGAGAGGTGGGACCGAGAGTCTAGGATCTGCATGTCGAGCGCCACACAGAGCTCTTGTGGTGACCACACTGGACCAGAGAGCTGTTACTACACGTGGGAGCTGGCCCACAGAAGGCAGGAGAGGAAATGGACACAGTCAGCAAGATGAGGAAGACAGGCTTTTAGGAAGTGGGCAGGGGTCACTCAGAAGGCCCAGGCAGGGGAAGTGAGCTCCGATGCACCAAGGACGGCCGTGGTGGCTCAGTGAGCAGGGGCACAAAGGGCACCACAGGGTGGAGAGGGCACAGGGCCCGATCCTGGGATCTCCCTGCAGGGCTGACACCACACTGTGACTGTGGTGGGGGTGGAGGTGAGGGCAGGCACCTGCCTCTGCTGCACAGGAGGGGCTCGGTGAGGGCTCAGCAACTCTCAATTACCTGTCTGTGTGAAACACTAACAAGGGCAATCTGGCTTTGACTCTGTTTTTAAGACATAAACAAAAATAAGATGCCACCATCTGACTTGTCCCCAACATGGCCAAGACCTTAATGAGGGAGGGCTTTGCATGCTGACAGAACAGGCCCTGGCTGACGGGTCCTAGGGGGGCAAGGGGCGAGCTACACTTGACAAGGTGTTTACGACTGGAGCGCAGAGGCCGAACTGGAGAAAATGATGGGGAAGAGATGGCTGTCTAGGAGAGGACCACGCCAAGGGACGAAGAGCAGAGGGACGGCGAAACGGGGTGCAAAGGCAGACCCAGGTAACTGTGCGCAGAGGCACGGGGAGCGCTCGGAGGCTTGCACCCCTGAACTGCTTGATTACTTTACCACAAACATAACATTCACCATTAAACATTTAGAAATAAAAGCTTTCTTTTTTTTTTTTTTTCCACAACGGGAGAGGCCACAACAGTGAGAGGCCCGTTGTGGAGCACAGGCTCCGGACGCGCAGGCTCAGCGGCCATGGCTCACGGGCCCAGCAGCTCCGCGGCATGTGGGATCTTCCCGGACCGGGGCACGAACCCGTGTCCCCTGCATCGGCAGGCGGACTCTCAACCACTGCGCCACCAGGGAAGCCCTAAAATTTTTCTTTAAAGATAGGGATACGACAAAATTATAAAGTAAATTATAAAGTCAAACATGAAAGGGCAGCTTTAAGATAATCACAAAGAGCTGAATATAGACTGAGAATGAGATTATAGTATTAGAGAAGTATCTTGTTAATTTTGTTAGGTGTGGTGAAGAAACCATTCCCTTGATAGAGCCACTGAGATGCATTTATGACAGAAAAGTAAGTGGGGAAGGAATAGATTTTTAAAGACTGGCAAACTGCAGAGAGCTACTGAAGTTGCGTGATGGGTCTCCTCACGGAGGTTCATTTCACACTCCTGTCAACTGGGGGAAGAAAAAAAAAGCACAACGTGAGAGTTGTGAGTTAAGTTTTATTTGCGGCAAAATGAGGACTATAGCCCAGGAGACAGCATTTCAGAGAGCTCCGAGAAACTGCTCTAAAGAGGTGGGGGGGAAGGTCAGTATATTTGTGATTTTCGTGAAGGGGGAGTCCATGCAATCGAGCACACATTTTTTGCAGAAGGTTTCTGCTAGTCACGAGGAGCAGACAGCACCATGAAGGATTTTAGTGCTTCTCTAGATACAGGGAGATGACAGAATTGGGCTCATAAAATCTTCTCCTGAAGATATCTATCTGAAGACCTGTTCTCCCAGCTTTCCCCAGAGCACAGAGTGCTTCATTCCTGATCTCCACCCCCTGAACTCCTTTCAGGGGGTGTTGAAGGTCAGCAGCTGCAGAGCTCATAATCTGATCCTTGTAGAGGTAGATGCTAAGTGTCAATTTGTAATTGACACTCCTATTGTATGTTTGAAAACGTCATAAAAAGTTTAAAAAATAATAGGAAAGCAGAGCATAGAAGGGCAGGGAGGGGGAAGATGCTAAATCTGTGCTGTTTCTGCTGGACACAAAAAAATTCAGTCCTAGCAGTTCCTCATAAGCCCTCTGCAAAGAGAGGGAAGAGAATGATGACAGAACCAGCTCTCAGGACAAGGAATGTGACATCCCTTATCTGATGCAGAAATGAGAGATCAGAAAGATGATCAATCTAAATCTTAAAACCTAATTTTCTTTATCTCTCCCTAAACTATTTTTTCTAACACAGAGCACAAACAAAGCATTCTTAATAAAACCAACGATTTCCAAGGCCTTCCGTGGGTCACAAATGCCTTTGAAAATCTGATGAAAGCTCTGGATCCTGTCCCTCAAAAAATGAGCATACAACAGGTATTGGGCCTAATTCAACTTGGAGAGGCGATCAAGTCCACTTTGCTGGGATGGCCGCAGAGGGACACTGCCATTGTAAATGTCCACTGATTTACACCATCCTGTCCCTCTCCCTCAAGGAGACGCTGTGTCCCCTGGAGAATACTGACAACAGAAACCAGCACATAAAATCTGGCCCAAAGACGCCAACCTGCATGTATTCTCTTATTAAACTGAAAAGTCCTTTTTTGAGATCCTTTACCCATATCCCCCGCAGAATCTCTCAAAGAGGTGCTAAAGAGGTGCTTGCTCTGTCTGACCTGTGAAGCCCAAGGACTCAATCCTCACTCTGCATTCTTCCTCAGCAGGCTGCATCTATCTGTGCCTGTCAGTAGTCCTCTCACTGTGCTGTCCTCATCCCTGGGACAGATGGACACGGTGACCCTCCCACGCAGCCTGAGAACCCCCAAGTGTTACCTTCCTCGACACCATGTGATAAAAATCCTTTTCAAGAATAGGTGGAGCACAGAGCATTTTTAGGGCAGTGAAAATACTCTCTATGATACTATAATGGTGATACATGGCATTATGTATTTGTCCAAAACCACAGAACGCACACCACCAGGAGTGAACCCTAATGTAGACTGTGGGCTTTGGGTGATGATGACACGTCAGTGTAGGTTCATCAATTATAACAAATGTTGTAACTCTGGGGGGGGATGTTGATGGCGGGGAGACTGCATGTGGGGGCAGGGGGTACATGGCAAATCTCTGTACCTTCCCCTCAATTTTGCTATAAACCTAAAACTGCTCTACAGAATAAGTCTTTTAAACAATTTTTTTGTTGTTGTTGTTTTTTTGTGGTACACAGGCCTCTCACTGCTGTTGCCTCTCCCGTTGTGGAGCACAGGCCCCGCGGCCATGGCTCACGGGCCTAGCCGCTCTGCGGCATGTGGGATCTTCCCAGACTGGGGCACGAACCCGTGTCCCCTGCATCGGCAGGTGGACTCTCAACCACTGCGCCACCAGGGAAGCCCTAAACAATTTTTTTAAAGCAATAACGATAACGATATTAATACAAATACTAATAATGGTAACAGCCACTGTGATGCTTTCAGCCTCACTTTCCAGAGCTCTGCACCACAGAGCCACAGTGTGCTTCACCACTGCAACCCATTCCCGTGACACCAGGCATTCACACACGGACGTTCCCCAACCTAGATCCCTGTTAACTTGCAATAGCTCACTCATGTGCTATTCTCCCTAAAACCAAATATAACTTAAGAAGACTTGGTTGGTTCCATAAAGAGGTTACGTCTGAGAAAAGGAAGGCAAGGGACAGCCTGGACACAAGATGAAAGTCTGATTCTGAAACCTCTGGGCTAAGTTTATTTGAGAGATAACCTTGTAGTAACTGTCTTCAGAAACCGCTAATATCTGACATCACAGGCAGAGGCACTTCTTTCCGGGCAGTGCATTTGTCTACAGTCTTGGGAAACATACCGCAGATCTCCTCCCATAGGAAACCAGGTCTCATCTTGCTCATGGAGCAATGCAGCTTCCAGGTTGCCATGGAAACGTTGCTGGGCAAGGAGGTTCAGACCAAGAGGCGGCATTCCTGATGAAACGGGACTGGTGGCTCCCGCAGTCAAACGTACCCAATCTAAATGTCACTAGTGCTTCAGGGTAAAAGGGTAAAGCTTACACTCAAGGGCCCAATGGAAGCAGGCTGCCTTTAGATAGCAAGTCCCCAAAATTCACAAGGAAAGAGCCAGATCAACAGTGACAACAGCCAGCCTCCGGTGGGCACTTTCTCTGCGCAGACCCTGAGCACCTCACACATACTGTCTCCTTCACACACCCCGCAATGGGGCACAAGGAGTCTGAGCAACTTGGGGATCTACCCTCCAGCTTCTGCTGGGCCAGCTGCCTGACCTGAAAACCAAGAAACAGTCATCAAAACCCATAAATATCACTGGCCAAAATGCTGTGAAGAAGTTCTCCCACTAGGCACGCTCTGTATCAAGTAAACGTGTGAAGAGAGAGGCTCTAAGGAAGAGCCTCACTGGTTAACACAGAGAAATTAGAAGGAAGTCTTCACAGAATTTACTTTCAAATACAAGAGAAAAACGTGAACATACTGATCTAAAATGTCATTTATACAGAAATCACATGAAATGGTTTTCAGGTGTTCCGAGGACAGCGGGACAGAGGAGCTTCCTGCGGGGCCTCTCCTTCCGTGGGCTTCCTTTCTGCAGCATCACCATCCTGCAGCAGCCTTGGTGAGAGCCTGGGAGTGGTGCAAGTGCCCTCTACATCCTTGCCGGGTTAACACGTTGGCTGTTCCAGGGAGCAAGGCCTTGAGCGCGCCGCACACGGAGAGAGGGACACGCCCCTCCAGAGAAGGCGGTTCCAGTTGGGCCTGGTGTGACGGCCAAGCTGGGCTGACGCAGAGAACTCGGGTCGGTGGGGCTTCCAGCCACCTGCCTGCCTTCCTTCTGGACGGTCCTCAGAACACATGCACTTACCTGGATGGCCAGCCACCATCGGCCAAGACTCCAAACACACGAAGACACCTGCTCCTCTGAGCCTTACCTTGTGTACACTTTTGGGGTTTTCCAACCAAGCATAGTACATTTCCTCCACATAGTTCGAACTAGTCCCGCTGAGGAAGGGCTCCGCAGCAACGGGGGCAGTATAGCACCGGACCTGCCCAAACGTCCTAGCTGCTGCTGGTCTGTTTTGTGAAAATGTCTTCACAGTCTGGGAAGCCGTCAACGGCCTCAACTTAGCAGCACAAGTCCTTAAGTGAAACATTCTTGTCCTGAAGTCTCTCACGACCGTCTGCACCAAAAAAAGAAAGAAAAGTTAGAAAGAGCATTGTAGCAGCCAAGGCTACTGGGGGAAAACCTCGCAGACTGTGGCTGGAGGAGAAAGACCCTGTAAATGCATTTGTGGCCGCGTGCCCTGCTTCAGAGAGCACGACACAGCATGAGGTAGTCAAACTGACCAACCTCCTATGTACAGGGCCTGTGCTCCACATGGGGAGGAGAGAACACAGCTGTAGAGGTATGGTCTTCCCCTGCAAGTTTCAATCTAGTTTGAGGGATACGATATATCATGATAAATATGTGATGCCCTGTAAGTTTATACGTTGTATAAAACAATTATAGGCAAAGGCAACAAAGATTAATGAATGATTAGATTAATATAATTGTAAAATGAGAAAGATACTTTCTAATCTATTCGGAGACTACCGAGTACCCGCTGGACTCACGGTATTCTGGAGAACACGGAGACATAGGAAAAATATTTTGCTCACCCTCAAATAATTTATCTTTGAGCAGCAGAAAAAAAATTTTTTTAATTAAAAATTACAGCGACAGCACTGAGCGCTTGAGAGGCACAGAAAATGCCAACACAACTCCATGGGAGAAGCCGCTCCTCCCAGGTGTTCCTTTCCGGCGGCTGGGAAAGCTTGGGGAAGGGGCGGAGCACAGGGAGGATTTTGCTCTGGAGAGGCGGAACGGCAGGCATTCTAAATATAAGAATCAGGAGGAGGAAAGACAGAGAGGTGGAAAGGCGAGCAGAACACAGGGGAAGAGCAAGAATCGTCTTGTCTGGCAGGAGAGGTGGACTGGCTGGACAGCCAGGGGTCCTGAGCCCCGTTTCCTGGGACTGGGAGTGGGCTCTGTGGGAGGAAGCACGGGCAGCAGTGACTACACAAGTGTCTACCTACCTTGGGGTGCTCTGTGGTCATCAACTTGACATGTTAGGATTCTTCACGAACCCCACCAACTCCCTAGAAGGCAGGCGCTAGCTCTTCTGTTTTACAGGTCACCTTTCTGAGTTTAACTTTCCCCCAAGGTTGAATAGACCTTGAGTTTGAGGATTGTAATTTTACTAAATCTAGTATGTAACTCTATATACGCTAGCCATTTTACAAAAGCAGCTGATGCACCCACCAGATCATGAAAGAGTTTAGACTGTCCCCAGAGGGGTCTTGAACCACTTCCAAGCATGAGTCAGAATCCAGATGCCTCCGGGAAGGGACCCAGTCAGGAAGGGATAAGGACACTGTGCAGTTCCTCTCCCCATAAAGATCCCGGCAGCTTCCAGTCAAAGCGAAAGAGGCTGTGGGAGGGGAAGGGAGCCCCAGGGCAGGGACGAGGCTCACCACAGCCCTCTGCCCTGAGATACAGTGCCTGCTGGCCTAACACATGGTTGCCCTTAAATCTGCCTTAAAGCAAGTGCCGGGGCTGTCAAGTTGGAATTACACCCCACCTCCACTCCTGCCTGAAGGAAATCCAAGCTCTGAGACATGCTGAGAATTACCCAGAAATAAATGTTACATAAACTATCCTCTACACAGTTTATACGAACCCTTCCTCTTAAGCCAAATATGATCAGAATACGCATAAAGGACACTGACAGAGTGTCTGGCCTGTTCTCCTGCTCAGAAAAGACAGGTCAGCAAAAGGGAAAAGCAGAACAGGTACTTTAAAAACAAACTGAACAACAAACAAAAACTTCCTCCTTAAAATTTAAAGATGAACAAGCCTATATTTTGCTATAGAATGCAATCTTAACTCCTTTTCTTTTTAACCTTAAGTAACTTCAGTAGTTCTTCCTACCTCCAACTATACTCCCATTTTCTCTAACAGCCAGACAAAGAAAGACACTGATGGCAAAAATACTACTACTGCTGCTTTCCACGTTAATTTTTTTAAAAATTCAGATCCAAAGGAAAACACTCATTTTTTTCCTCCAATGTCATTATTATCTAGGCAGCTTGAAACACTCGATGGCCCCTGAGCTGGGGTTTTCTCCTAGAACACAGCAGTATCATCACCTCCATTAGTATCATCACCACCATTAACTGTCATTATTCAGTTGCTGCAATACCCAATTAACAGGCACCACACTGACAAGCACAAAACTGCTCGTTTCATGTGTTCTTCCCAATGCAGTCCTTCCAATATGATACTATAAACAAACCACGTTACCTAGCTATCTACAGTCACGGAATCTGACAAATAGCTCAGTGCTGCCGAGCACTGTTACTAGCAATTTTCAAACTTCCCTTAAGATGACTCATCGGAAAACCTGCCCTTCAGCAGATGGCTCAACATCCCCGGCCTCCACCCTGGGAAGACCAGGAACAGCTGTTCTCTATCCACGATCTTATGGACCCACAGAGCAGACAGCAGGTATATATACATTTCAGATTTTGGTAGGGTCAGATTCCATCCTTCCAATTCCAGAGTCAACATTACGAATAGTGCACCATTTTTGGTAGAAACACTGAATTGTTCAAACACTTTCATGAAAGCTTCGGGTTGTCCAAGAAGTCCAAGTGTTCTGACTTGTGGTTTAGAACAATATTTCTACTTGACAAGGGGGCCAAAAATTCTCAATGGGGAAAGAATAGTCTTTTCAACAGACAGTGCTGGGGCAACTGGAGATCCACATGTGAAAAAGTGAAGTTTGGACCCCTGTCTCACACCATATACAAAATTAACTGAAAATGGATCAAAGACCTAAATGTAAGAGCTAAAACTGTAAGACTCTTAGAAGTTTTATAACTTCCAAGTTAAAATGGAATAAATCTTCATAGCCTTGAGACAAACAACGTGTCTTAGGACACCAGAAGGACAAACAACAAAAAAAATAGACAAACTGGACTTCAACAAAATAAAAACTTTCGTGCTTCAAAGGACAACATCAAAAAAGAGAAGACAGTCTAAGAGTAAAAGGAATATTTGCAAATCATAGAGCTGATAAGAACTCTTACAACTCAATAATGAAAATAAAAATAACCCAATCAAAAAACTGCCAAAAGTGACTTCCCTGGTGGCGCAGTGGTTAAGACTCCACGCTCCCAATGCAGGGGGGCCCAGGTTTGATCCCTGGTCAGGGAACTAGACCCCACATGACGCAACTAAGAGTTTGCGTACCACAACTAAAGATCCTGCATGCCACAGGGAAGACCCTGCATGCAGCACAACCAGGAGCCCTCGTGCCACAACTAGGACCCGACGCAGCCAAATAAATAAATTGATTAATTTTTTAAAAATTGCCAAAGGATACGAACAGACATTTTTCCAAAGAAGACACACAAATGACCAATAAGCACATTAAAAGATACTCAACATCATTAGTCATTAGGGAAAAAAATGCAAATCAAAACCACAACAAGAGGGGCTTCCCTGGTGGCGCAGTGGTTGGGAGTCCGCCTGCCGATGCAGGGGACACGGGTTCGTGACCTGGTCTGGGAGGATCCCACATGCCGCGGAGCGGCTGTGCCCGTGAGCCATGGCCGCTGAGCCTGCGCGTCCGGAGCCTGTTGCTCCGCAACGGGAGAGGCCACAACAATGAGAGGCCCGCGTACCGCAAAAAAAAAACAAAAAAACCCACAACAAGATACCACTTCATGCCCACTAGATTAGATACAATCAACACAAGCAAGTGTTGGAGAGAACGTGAAGAATTTAGAACCCTCATACAATTCTGGTGGGAATGTAAGCTGGTGCAGTCACTTTGGAAAACAGTTTGGCAGTTCCTCAAAAAGTTAAACATAGAATTACCATATGACTCAGCAACTCCACTCCTAGGTATACAACCAAGAAAAACAAAAACATACGTCCACACGGATGTTCACTGCAGCATTATACGAGCCCAAAAGTGGAAACAACTCAAATGTCCATCAACTGATCAATGGGTATACAGAGTGTGGTATAGCCATACCATGTAATAGTATTAGGCAATGTAAAGGAATGAAATGTTGATATCTCTTGCAACACAGATGAACTTTGAAACTTTTAAGTGAAAATAGTCATTCACACACAAAAAACACATGTTGTATGACTTCATTTATGTGAAGATGTTCAAAAGAGGCAAATTGATACAGACAGAAAGCCCAAGACTGGGGGTAGCAAGGATAAGACATAACAACTAATGGGTATGGGTTTTATTTTTTGTTTGGGGGGGGCGGGGAATGAAAATGTTCTAAAACTATTGATAGATAATGCTGATGGTTTCACAACCTTACGATATACTGTAAAATGTTAAATTGTACAATTTAAATGGGTGAATTGTATGGTATATGAATTATACCTCAATAAAGTTTTTTGTTTTTAAATGTTTGTGAACAGATTTGCCCAAACCTAAACTTTATTTTTTTTGCCACACCACACGGCATGCGGGATCCTAGTTCCCCAACCAGGGATCGAACCCGTGCCCCTTTGCAGTGGAAGCATGGAGTCCCAACCACTGGACCACCAGGGAAGCCCCTCAATAAAGTTGTTTTTAAAAAAGTCTAAGAAGAAACATAAACGAGCCTATCCCTATCAATAAAGTACACAAAGTGACACTATCTGTAACCCATTAATTTCAAGATGCAAGTATAAATCTATACATTTGAGAAAAATAACATTAAAAAAACCCCCAAAACCAAAGCAAAATTTGTTTTTAAGGGTTCAGTGCTCTGCCCTTAGGAAAATAAAACAGTTTATCTGTGCCTGGACATTCCCCAGTCAGGCAGCACACACCTTACCCAAGGCCACCTCCCCATTCACAGGATGAGGAGATAAACTGACTCCTGACGTCTACCACCCTCATGCTGGCTAGCAGAGGAGTAATTAAAGAGGCAAAAACAGCCTGGGCATTTCTCAGGACATGAGTCTTTTAGGGAAAAGCACATGCATCATTAAATGTTTGTTACCATTGTGTGTTGCCTAAGAACCATTTTAAAAAAACTTACCTTGAGAGACTTTTTGTTTTTTGTTTTCTTTTGGTTTTGGACTCATTAAGATTTTCATGATGAATCAAGAAAACAATGCTTGCTACATACCTATCGCTGTTAATCCATTATTCTAGTTTTAGCAGTGATACAAAGACATTATGTACAGGGAGAGCACAAGTACCAATTTTCTTTTACTGGCTGAGAATCTCAAGAGAATGCAACGTCTTTCACTTGTGATGCCTCATCAAATATAAACTGAGGGATTGAGAGGTAGTGCAGAGTACTCTTAAACTACAAAGGTACTTTGCCATTATTACACAGAAACAGTGGTTGAGCCTTCAGGGCAAACAGGCAGAGTGACTCTTCCTTGCTGTGTGAGCCTTAAATGTATCACTTGATCTGTGTTCGTTTCCTTTGCCATAAAGTGAAGGATGCAATCACTTCTGTTCCCTCAATGTTTTTTGTAATTATGATACAAACATGAAAGAACTTTGCACACTTTAAAAGTACTTTTATGGGACTTCCCTGGTGGCGCAGTGGTTAAGAATCTGCCTGCCAATGCAGGGGACACGGGTTCGAGCCCTCGTCTGGGAAGATCCCACATGCCGCGTAGCAACTAAGCCCATGCGCCACAACTACTGAGCCTGCTCTCTAGAGCCTGTGAGCCACAACTACTGAAGCTGCGTGCCACAACTCCTGAAGCCCGCGCACCTAGAGCCCGTGCTCCGCAACAAGAGAAGCCACTGCAATGAGAAGCCCGCGCATCGCAACGAAGAGTAGCCCCCGCTCACTGCAACTAGAGAAAGCCCGCGCACAGCAATGAAGAGCCAACACAGACAAAAATAAATAAATTTATTTTTTTTAGGTATTTCTATGACTAAAGAACTATAATCTACCATAAGAAAAAAAAAAACCCCACCCCACAACTAATGGTATGTCTTAAAAAGCTGAAGTTCCCGAGGTAAAACTAAACAGAAGTAAATTTGGAGTGGGTAGCTGACCAGATTGCTGGGGGGGATTTCCACCTCTGAAGTGGGAACCCCAAACAAGCTTCAGTGCATGGGTCTGAAGACTGATCCATCCTGCCCAGACCGGCACTGTGTTTCCAAAGGTGCCCTGAATGCAGTGGTGTATGGTATAGGTAAATAGGCACTTTTTAAAGGTGTTGGTTAAAGTAGAAATTATTAAATTTTTATGGAAAGCAAGGACACTTGTCAATATTTATTAAAAATTTAAAAAGCACATACAGGACTTCTGTTTCCCACTAAATGCAGCTAAAAACATGAGATGCTTCATTTAACACAAAACAAAACATAAGACTCTGAAAGGTGGAGAGGAGACAGACTGGGAAGGGGCCTCGGGGCCCCAAAAGACTGAGCACTGAGTTCTCGGTTTTCCTTTTGCCTCATATATTCCAGGCTAGATGCTGAAGAAGCTGGCAACCCAGAAATACCAACTAATGTAGACCAAAAAAAAGCTGCAGTAAAAGCCTGCCCTCTGGCCAAAGGACCAGGAATGGGGCAGCCTAGCAGGACAGAATACTTTTAGACAATAACAACTCTACTGCAACCAACCCCACAGAAACACTGTGGCCCACTCCCACTCCACCTGGTAGTGTCAGAGGAGATCAGGGACTTCCATCCCCACCAGGTGACAATGAGCCACCCTCCCCACCCCAACAATCTAGGAGGGAGCCTGGATTCTACTCTCGCCCAGCAGTAACAGGGCAGCACCTCTCCCTTCCCAGGCAGGGTGGAATCCCAAAGGTGTAATTGGGAAATTACACCCACACAGCAGTAACAAGGAGTCCCTACCCACAGATACCAAGGAGGCCAGGTGAGGAGCCTCTACCTCCATAACCAGGCAGCACCTCCTACCCCCCCAGCAGTGTCAGAGGAAGCTCACCAACACCAAGATGACACAGATGTTAGAATTATCTGGCAAAGATTTTCAAAGAGCCAGCATCAAAATGCTTCCACAAGCAACTAGAAACATACTTGAAACAAATGAAAGTAGAAAGCCTCAGTAAAGAAAATATAAAGAAGAACCAAATGGAAATTTCAGAACTGAAAATTACAATAACCAGAATAAAAAATTTGATGGATAGGTTAAACTGAAGAAAGAAGAAACAGTGAACATGAACATGGACAAACATGAACGAAAGGAATTTCGCAATCTGAACGGAGAAAACAGACTGGGGGAAAAAAAAAGAACAGGACCTCAGGAACACGTGGGACTATAACAAAAGACCTAATGCTGAATATAAAATGTCACCAGAACCTCAGGAGGAGCAGAAAGAGGAAGGGGCTGAAAACGTATTCAAACAAATAATGGCTGAAAACTTCCCAAATTTGGCAAAAAGACATAAACCCATAGATTCAAGAAGCTGAGAGAACCCCAAACAAAATAAACCCAAAGAAATCCACTCCAAGACCCATCACAAGCTTTTGAAAACTACAAACAACTTGAATAGCATATTTCTCACCAGAAACTATGGAGGCCAGGAGAAAGTGGCATAACACTTTTCAAGTGTTGAAGGAAAATAACTGTTAATCCAGAATCTTATATCCAGAAAAAGTATCCTTCAGGAACAAAAGGGGAATAAAGATCTTCTTAGATGAAGAAAAACTAAAAAAATCTGCTGCCAGAAGACCTACCCAAAATGAATGGCTTAAGGAAATCCTGTAAACAGAAAGTAAATGATAAAAGGAATCTTGCAACATCATGAAGAAAAGAAAGAACAACAGAAAGACAATGTATGGGTAAATATAATTTCCTTTTCCTCTAGAAATCTTCTAAATGATGTGTGATTGATGAAGCAAAAATTTCAACACATCTGATGTGGTTCTAATGA